GCCTTGCGGATTAACCTTGGCAGGTATAAGGCTATGGAAGTATACCCCGAGCGAAAAATCTGCGGTGGAGCCCCGCATCAGGCAGAGGGAGCATAAGAGCACGGGGGTGGAGGAGACTGCAGTGGTAGCGGGTAAACCAAGTGAAAGATTACAAGGAAATAGTGTTAGGAATGATGACAAAACTAAATGAGACAGGGAATTTAAACCTAAACGCGGTAAAGGGAGGACTCAGAACACGACTAACTTAAATATCTACTACGCGAACAGTAGAAGCATGAGAAACAAAATGGATGATAATAGGGCCTTGGTATGTACCGAAAAAATCGATATAATAGCATTCACTGAAACATGGATCAACCTAGACACACGTGAGTTACCAGTCGAATACCAAATTGCGCATTACAAATTGTTCCATACTGATAGGCCGTCCAGGAAAGGAGGCGGAGTAGCCATCTATGTGAGGGATAATCTGAAGTGCGAAATAAATAAGGAAATAAAAACTGAGCGGAATACAGAAACAATTTGGATAGAATTAATCGACGGTAGGAAAAAATTAATCGTAGGAGTAATATATAGACCTCCCAATCTTGATAGAGTCAATGAACGACTTATCTGGGATGAAATGCGCAGGGCTTCCATACACAACAAAGTCTGTATAGTAGGAGATTTTAACCTTGGCCAAATAGATTGGACTGACCTTACGGGTAACTTAGTATCAGAGGATTTCCTCGAAACGATCCAGGACTGTTTCCTAAGTCAACATATAACCGAAACTACCAGGGGTAATAATACACTCGATTTAGTTCTGTCGAACAGAGAAAACCTCATTAGCAATGTCTAGGTAGGGAACGAACTTGCAAACAGCGATCACAAAGAAATCAGATTCCAGTTAGATTTTCAGGTCAGACGTAAAGGGAATTCCATTAAAGTCCCAGATTTCAGAAGGGCAAACTTTGAAAGTTTAAAGAGGCAGCTGAGAGAGGGGGTGTCGCGCTTGGATGTGAACCAAGATGACACCGACCTGATAACGAGATCTGAGATTGCCGAGTTCCACGACAAATTAAATAATGAGTTACTTAATGCACAAAGGCAGAACATACCATACAAAAAACTCAGATCAGACAACAATGACCCTAAATGAATAAATAATTATTTAAAGAACTTTATTGGCCAAAGGAAGGCTATAGGTAGAAGGATAAATCGTGGCGAATTTTACCTCCGGGAAAATTATAAGGTATTGGCCGGTAGGGTTAAGACCGAGATAAGAAAAGCCAAGAGGTACTATGAACTGAAGGTAGCAGGGGAGGCGAAAACAAACCCCAAAGGATACTACCAAATGTATCAAACTAAAACACGAGATAAGATTGGCCCAATATGTTCAGATACCGGCGAGCTAACTGACAACGATGGAGAAATGAGCAATAATCTGAATAAATATTTTTCAACAGTTTTCACCACCGAAAATTTAAACATGATACCCGAGGCACCGACTCTGTTCAGAGATAAAGAAGAAAACAAATTAAGCGAGATAGTAGTGACTAGTAACGATGTTAATAAGCAAATAGACAAACTGAAGCCTAATTTGTCACCTGGTCCCGATGAAATATTTGCCAGAGTATTAAAGGAATGTAAGGATGAGCTTAGTATGCCCTTAACAAAGTTGTTTAACATGTCATTAAAAACAGGTGTCGTGCCAGAATCCTGGAGGATAGCGAATGTAATACCGATTTTCTAGAAGGGGATAGATCACTATCCTCTAACTACCGCCCAATCAGTCTAACATCAATAGTAGGTAAATTACTACAATCAATTATTTCAAACTCTATTCGAAACCACCTGGAGAAGCACAAGATGATCAATGATTCCCAACATGGCTTCACAAGCGGGCGTTCATGTCTAACTAATCTTTTCATCAGTTTTCGAATCGGTGGACGAGGGGCACAATTATGATATGGTATATCTCGACTTTAGCAAAGCCTTCGACAAAGTCCCCCACGAAAGACTAATTAGAAAGGTAGAAGCGCATGGCATCAAAGGTAATATCCTCAAATGGATTAAGGCGTGGTTACGGGACAGGAAACAGCGAGTGAGCATATACGGCACTAAATCGCATTGGAGCAACGTCACTAGTGGAGTTCCCCAAGGCTCAGTACTTGGACCATTATTATTTATTATATACATAAACGACATAGATATCGGCATAGACAGCCACATAAGTAAATTTGCTGATGACACTAAAATAGGACGTGTAATTAAATCTGACGAGGACTCTGCAAAACTACAGGAAGATCTAAACAAATTTTTCGAATGGTTGGAAAAATGGCAGATGAAATTCAATGTGGACAAATGTAAAGTACTCAGTATAGGAGATGTAAACAGGGAAACCAGTTACCAGATGAACAACGATGCCATTGTGGAATCCGTCTGCGAGAGAGATTTAGGAGTAATGATAAGTAGGAATCTTAAGCCAAGTAAAGAATGTGTTTTTGCTCGTAACAAGGCTAATAAAGTACTTGGGTTCATACAAAGGAGTGTTAGCTACAAGACTAGCGAGGTCATCTTAAAATTATATCTAGCGCTTGTGAGACCTCACCTGGATTACGCAGTTCAGTTCTGGTCACCGTATTACAGAATGGATATAGAATCATTGGAAAGAATCCAGAGGAGAATGACAAGACTAATCCCAGGCATTTGGAACCTTGAATACAGAGACAGGTTAAAGCATCTTAATTTGCACTCCCTCGAGAGATGTAGAGTGAGAGGCGACATGATAGAGGTGTATAAATGGAAGTCAGGGTTAAACAAAGGTGACATTGCAAAGGTACTCAAACTGTCCAACCAGGAGCGAACTCGTAACAATGGTTTTAAATTAGACAAATTTAGATTTCGGCGTGAAATTGGTAAACCCTGGTTTGGAAACAGAGTAGTGGATGAGTGGAACAAGTTACCAAATATCATCATTAACTCGAATACGCTGAATAGCTTCATACATAGGTTGGATGCTTATATGAGCAATAGGGGTTGGGTATAAACGGGACTGCACAGTATGGGTCAGTAGGCCTGCTGCAGTTTCCTCCATTCTTCTTCTTCTTACATGCTTACAGAAACTCCAACAATACCCCAACAACAGTGTAATCGGAAGAGGTGACCACCATGGAACCCAACGACTATACCAGCAGACGAAGGCAATGCCTGATGGACAGTTTACTAAGACGAAACTCAACAAACTGAGCTATCGGCAGTCCATTGCAACTCTCGCTCTCCCCAGTCATTGCAAATATCTTGCACCACTGGATCATGAAAAGGGAGAGCCAAGATGTGTGGTTGCAGCCTGCGCTCCTGCCTCACCACATAAATCAATTCACGTGCAGCCATCACCCAGCTCATCATACCTCTCATCATCATCAAATCCCTTATACCCCCAAAAGTCCTATGCGACTGACGAGTGGCGACGGGGACAGGCAGAGATGGCTGCCGGGAGTGTCTAGTCACAGATATGCACATGGACGACAGAGATAAGATGGTCGTTTATGCACTGGAATATAGGCAGTGGTGCAATCCTGTCCTGTCTGTGTGACTGAGCAGCCTTTACAAGGAGCCACGAGGGGGCTAGGAAACCCAACCGCACCTAGTAAGGTCATCCTTATGCGGTCGAAAACACGATCAAATTCACAGATCCTAACAAAAACAAACCATACAACCTCTTATGGTCGCTGCATGGAATGTCAGAACCCTTCTAGATACAGGCACAAATGCACGTCCTGAAAGAAGAATTGCCCTTGTGGCAAAAGAGCTGGCTAGGTATAACATCGACTTAGGAATCATCAGTGAGTCCCGGCTCCCAGATTAGGGTCAACTCACAGAACGGGGGTCTGTTTCCACCTTCTTGTGGAAGGGTAAGCCTGCTGCGGAGAGAAACCGAAATTTATGGAGTTGGCTTTGTCATCAGCCAACGCATCCTTCACAGGCTAACTGAAATGCCTATTGGGATCAACGAGCGCCTCATGACTCTTCGAATCCCACTGAATCACTCACATCATGCCTTCTTCATCTGTGCATGCGCCCTAACACTGGATACAGAGCGTGACACCAAGGAGGCCTTTTATGCCGACCTTGGCAGATTGTTAACCTCTATCCCCAGAGAAGATAAGGTTATGCTCCCTGGCGACTTCAATGCCAGGGCCCGTCAGTCGTTTGGCTGCACACCAAAATTTATTGCCCTTGTGAGACAACTACACGATGACATGAACGGCAGTGTCCTACACAATGGCACTCAGTCTGACGTCTTGCCCATCTAAACTGGAGTAAAACAAGGGTGTATACTGGCACCTACTCTCTTTTCCATATTCTTGGCTGCCTTCTTTACTCGTGCCAGTGCCAATTTAGCTGGCGGGGTGGACATCCAGTACCGGATGAAGGGTCTTTTCGTCATTAGACGACTCCAGGCAGGAACAAAACTGTCAGCCGCTTCCATCACGGAACTTCATCATGTAGACGACCTCACACTCGTCGCTCACACTGAACGCAAGCCACCCGAGATCCTGAACACCTACTCAGATGCTCATGCACACTTCGGCCTTGAGGTGAATGCACTTAAGATTCAGATTCTCTCTCAATCCTGCCACTGGTTCAACCACACCTCCATCCATCCAACCTAATGGTATCAGGTACTTCTCGATTTACACGAGGGTTACGTTCTTGAAGAGGTGGTGTAAATCAAATTTGGTGCAAAAAAACAGTGAGTGAGATAGGCGTGAGTGAAAGAGGCGTCTGAGGCAAGAAGGGAGTGTGCATCAGCCCCGTTTATAAAACCCGCTTGCACACAACCCGCTTGTTAATACACACTTACAACTTATTGTACAACTTATGCGTGTTATTGTGAATGAAACGTGTAAATTAAATTTTTTTGGGATTTTGGACCTTGTGTTAATTCGAAAACGGGCAAAAAAAAAATACTCGCAAAAAGAGAGGTACCTGTACTACTCTCTCTAATATTACCCAGTTCGAGTACCCTGGCTCCCACTTGTCCACCACCACGGACATCTCTGAAGAGATTCGACATTGGAATAGATGTGCATCTCAAACTTTTGGCAGACCCATACCTGTATCTTCAACTGTAGGGAGCTGAAATTATCTACAAAGCTGCATGTGTATCAAGCAGTGGTCCTCCCCACCCTATTGTATGGCAGCGAGACATGGGTTACAGACAGAAGGCACCTCAAGGCACTTGAAAACTTTCACCAACGTATTCTACATTCCATCCTCCGACTTCGCTGGGAAGACAAGAGAAGAAATGCCTGTATTTTTGCTGACACCAACTACAGGAACATAAACAACTATGCTGGACTGGTCATTTTACCCACATGGACGACAGTAGTCTAGCAAAGCAGCTACTTTACAGTTACGGAACGAATGGTAAACGTAACGATGGCGGGAAACGGAAAAAGGTAAAAGGAAAGTCTTAAGACAAACTTAAAAAGTGCCAAAGTGACCCCCTCACTTGGTATACGATCAGTCCATATTGTAACGTTTGGAGGAGCACCACACGAGAAGGTGTCAAAACCGAGGCAGAGAAGCACCAGCGTCGGAAAAACGCTGCCGCTGATGTATCGGAGTCTTGAGCATCTCAAAGCTCACCAATGAAGGTGAAAGCCATAATAACTCATATCATTACATCGATTCCGAGTGACAGCAAATTATTATTATTATTATTAGTAGTAGTAGTAGTAGTAGTTGTAGTAGTAGCAGAAACATCACTCCTTGCACTACCACCGAGACTGGGAGGTATGGGATTGACCAATCCAGAGGAGATTGCTGCCACCGAACATCAAAACTCAGTCCAGCTCACGGCAGCCCTCAGGGACCACATAATAGCTCGGAACGCAACAGGGGAGGTGGATACCAGTGAAATAAACAAGATTCGAAGGCCCATTACGACAGAACGACAGCACAGCCAAAGTGATAAGTTGCAGCAACTGTTGTTGCAAGTACCAGAGAATTTGAAAAAAAATGTAGCTATAGCGCAGGAGGTGGGCTCCTCGAACTGGTGAACTATGTTACCGAGAAGGGCAAATGGTTTCACTCTCAATAAACAAGAATTTCCAGATGCCATTGCTCTAAGGTGCGGTAGGCCAGTCGAAGGTTACCCTCCCAATGCGTTTGTAGCTCTTCCTATGAAGCCGATCACGCCATGGTGTGCAAGAAAGAGGGCTTCATATGCATGAGTCATGACGAAGTAAGGGACCTTACAGCAAATATGTTGAAGGAAATCTGCCTTGATGTCAGGGTAGAACCGACCCTCCTTCCATTGCATGGTGAGATTTTCCAACATAGGACTTCAAAATCAGTATTTTTGATCCCATGGCCGCATGTCACCGTAACTTAGCTCTCGATGCTGCACACAGGAGAAACGAGATTGACAAGATAAGGGCATACTGGGATAGAATTCAGAAGGTTGATCAAGGCAGCTTCACTCCTCTAGAGTTTACAACCTCTGGTGGGATGGGACCAAGTGCAAGATGCTTCTACGCCAGACTCGCGGAGGTGATATCCGAACAGAAGCAGCAGCCCAGAAATTATGTTACAGCCTGAATGAGATGTCGAATGTCCTTCTCTCTCCTCCGGTCGGCTTTGCTCTGCCTCAGGGGAACGAGAGTTTCGGCCCCTAAGCCGACAACAGTTGCAAATATTGACTATGAAGCTACAGTCACTGAATGCAGCATAGACCTGCGGCTCAACTAACTCAACACAGCTAGGATAGCTACTTATGTGTTATGATATTAAATATTAAGGTATTAAATGGTGGCAAAGGGATGGTTATTGGGGGAGGCTGGAGGCCATTAATAAAAAAAACAATAAAGTTGTAGTAGTAGTAGTAGTGTGTGTGTGTGTGTGTGTGTGTGTGTTGATAAGGGTTGTGTCGCAAAGTTTGTGTTTTGATTGTCAGAAGCAATTTTTTGTCATAAATGCATTATGAACATTTGAGTCACTAGTTCGTCATGAAAGTTTGATATCTTAGGTGCGTCATGAACGTTTTATTCACACTATTGGTTTCCAGGTGCGCCATGCATTGGTGCTGAGTGCGCCGCCTCCATCACTGGTGTTGGACGGTGTAGGTCGTGCTGGTGATGCATGTGTGACGGGAGGTGGAGAGCTGGCGTCTGTCTTATTGTCACTGCCTAGACCATTCCAGGTACACTTCATCAATACGTCCCTTTTCATCTAACAGCTGAGAAAATGGATTCAATAGGCCTCTCTACCATTTAGAGGCATGGCGGCCATTTAGGGGTATCACAGCCATTTAGGGGCATGGTAGCCATTTAAGAGCATGATGACCATTTAGGAGTATCATAGTTGGGTGTGTCATAGGAGGGAAGATCAGCTAAAACTAATGGCCCATCACTTTTTTGGTAGATTTTAGTGTATATAAACAGAAAATAATTTCAGTTTCAATATTTTGCAACCTTTTGCTAGGTAAATTTTAGCGTGAAATTTATCGAAAATCTAACGTACAGCTGCATTAGTGCATTACAATTAAATAGTGAACATTGCTTTCTGACTTCATTCTTTAACAACCCAACTAACAATATTTTTTTCTGTTTCAGATTCTGATGCATTTATAAGTTGATAATATTTACGATGGCTGCTTGTGTCAGGACGAGGAACCAAAAATCCAGCCATCTCAGTCACTATCTTGGGTCTGGGAGAGAGCTCCTGAAGTCGGAGTTGCCTACATTGAGAGATGCTTTGAGATACGGTGTTTTAATCAGGCAAATCAGTGAAAAGAACCAAAGAACTTACACAAACAAAGACATTGCCAGTGATATGACCAAAGCTGTCTTGGCACAGTACACTCTAACGCTCAGTTCAAGCCTCCAGTCATAACAAGTCAGAAGAAGATTAGTGAGAGACTAGCCAGTTGGGAAAAGGCAAGAGATATCTCTCTTTGGGAGAGGAAAACTTGCAGTTATGGACAGCTTTGCTGCCAACTGGACCAGTTATTTGACATAATTTGCAAGTGCCCAATTGTTCTCTGTCCTGAGTTTGGATGCGATCGTGACTGTAAATCCGGAGGCCCACATCTCCTGTATTTGCAAGCGTGAACTGAAGATTCCTGTGATCGAACTGGCATTTGTCAAAGCACAGAGAGAGAAGACTGGCAGTATAGGGGCTCATGATTTCTAGCCAAGATATTTCCGGAGTCCAAGAGACAGGAGGCTGCCACAGAGAGACAGAAGAGGAGAAGAGTTGCCGAGGAAAAGGAGACTTGAGAAGGCCCAGGGTGAGGTAAAAAAGGCCGATGATTGGAGTCAAGCTGATTCAGAGTTTAATGACTTCCCCATGGCTGATCCGAGTGCTGACCAGGAGAATGGTGACTTTGTCCCTAACCCAGAAAATAATGATCCCAAACCTTCCAGGCATAAGATTCGAAATAGGAAAGATATTCCGAGCATAGCTCTGGCCAGCATGCGACACCACACTGGTCTCAGAGAAACTGCAGAGATAGCAACAGCTGCCTGGATTGACGGTGGTTTGATAACACCTGATGATGTTCACCTGGTGATAGATCATAACAAAGTAAGGAGAGCTCAGGAGAAACTTGTCAGTAACCTAGAAGAGGAGTTTGATAAGGGGATAAGAGAAAATGGAATCAATTGTTTGTTCTTTGATGGGAGAAGGGATGACACTAAAGTGTTCATGAAAGTTGGAGATTCTGACAAGTTGTTCCCTGCCATGGTAAAGGAGGAACACTACTCCTGCTGCAGTGAACCAGGAGGGAAGTATTTGTGGCATTTCACTCCAGAGAAAGATGACATCAGGAAACCAGCTGAGATAGTGGCAGATAACATTGTGAACTGGCTCAGAGAGAGGAACGTAGACCAGACCCTGCAGGCCATTGGAGGGGACAGCACTAACACGAACACAGGGTGGCAAGGGGGGGGTCATACAGTGGATAGAGCGGAAGATTGGGAGGAAGCTGGTCTGGATTGTTTGTGACCTCCACACCCACGAGTTGCCACTCAGACATCTGATCCAGGAGCTGGATGGCAAGACTCTTTCAAACAACAGATGGTCTGGTCCTCTTGGCAAGATGCTGGACTCTGCCACTGAGTTAGAAATAAATCCGAGCTTTGAAAAAATCACAGTTGGCCCTCCACTCGTTGAGCTTGCACATACTGTCATTGACGACCTGAGTACTGACCAGTACTATGGTTACATGATTTGCAGTGCCATCAAAACTGGGGTCATGCCTGACAGACTTGCTTACCTGCAGATAGGTCCAGTCTCACATTCTAGGTGGCTCACAACGGCTCTCAGGTTCTGCAGAATTTGGGTCGCTCATCATAAACTGAAAGGGAACCAGCTTCACAACCTGAGACTTATTGTCCAATTCATCGTGAGTGTCTACTTGCCAAATTGGTTCAACACCAAGGTCAAGTCATCGTTCTCCGAAGGTCCGAGGCATGTTCTCTTCCAGCTTGAGCTCCTGAGGAGTCAGCCAAGGAAGGTTGTTCAGATTGTGGAGCAGACTGTGAGGAGATCTTCCTGGTATGCTCATCCTGAGGCAGTTCTGCAGACAATGCTCTGCAGTAAGGATGAGGAGGAGAGAAGAGTGGCAGTCAAAAAGATCTTGGATATGAGACTTATGAGAGGATCTGGGCATGACGAATCAGTTGGTGACGATTCCTTCAGGGTCAGGAAGACTCCTGAAGTCAATCTAGGTGCCAAGACCCTCACTGATCTCATAGATCTGGATAACATCCAGGCTGGCAGTGAGCCCCCTCTGACCTGCAGCCTCACCAATGTTCAAGTCAGAGCTTTCCTGGACAACCCCATGCATGTCCCTGCCTGGCCCTCGCACACCCAGAGTATAGAGGGTTGTGTACAGCAAGTGAGCGAGGCCAGCAGTTACGTGTACAGCCAGGAGAGGAGGGAAGGTTACATCCGAGCTCAGGTGGTCAGCAGGGAAGTGATGAGTAGAAACAGAAGCAAGAAAGACATGTTCTCTATGGTGTGCAGTAACACCGGGTCGTAGTAGTAAAACCGGTTTTTGTATTTGATGATTTTGTTTTCTAAAGGAATATTAAATTTAATAAATGTGTCAAGATCATTCGTTTCACTATTTTGGATCATTTTCATCCTAATAAATTAACCTGATACATTTACTTTACTTTAAATAAGCTATTTAGTGGTGTTGGTAAAAGGGTGGGAATACTGAATTTTCATAAGATTTCAAGTTAAAATTTACCTAGCAAAAAATGAAAACTTTTCAGATCTGAAGATATCACATGATTCTGCACATAGAACTACATCATTAATACCATGGGCCGATGTTTCAAACTCAAAAAAAAAAAATTCGCCTCCGTATGACACACCCTAGTATCATAGCCATTTAGGGGCCAAACGACCAGGTAGTAGGTAGTAGGCAGCTATCAAACAGGGAGGGACTACCGCCTGGGAAGATATTGGAAGCATAATGTGTTGTCTAATGGTAGACCCTGCTGCCATATGGCACCACAAAAAATTGTGACCAAGTCCCATGTTGCTGATCTGACTTTCTGCCTCATTTATACACAACTGCAGGGTTTTAATTGTTTCTCTTACTTTGACAACACAACATACATATATCGTTTCGCACTATTGATTTTTTTAAATTTTTGTATTTATTATTATTATTATTATTATTATTATTATTATTATTATTATTATTATTATTATTATTATTATTATTATTATTATTATTATTATTATTATTATTATTATCATTATTATTATTATTATTATTATTATTATTATTATTATTATTATTATTATTATTATTATTATTATTATTATTATCATTATTATTATTACAATTTCGCCCCCCAGGTCCTGATGTGGGTCATTGACCTGTGCCCTGGTGGGCTAATCCCTTAATAAAAAAAAGTCGGCAATTTAGGGGTAGTGGCCATTTAAGTGCATGATGACCATTTTTGGGCATGGCAGCCATTCAGGGGTACGACGGCCATTAAGGGGCATGACGACCATTTTGGGGCATGGCAGCCATTTAAGGGTATGGCAGCTATATAGGAGCATGACAGTCATTAATGGGTATGGCAGCTATTGAGGAGCATGACAGCTATTTAAGGGCATGGCACCCAATAAGGGCTGGCAGCTATTTAGGAGCTTGACAGACATTTAAGGGTATGTCAGCCATTTAGGGGCATGGCAGCCATTCAGAGGTATGGCATGTAACTCTACACAATGTGATACAGTTGCGTTACTACAGCAAATGCTCAAAATTCCTTCTTTCTTCCTCTTTAACACAATTTGTAGAGTTATGTTCACAAAATTATACAAAACTCTACGGCAGTTTCAGTCCAGTCTCGGTTCGTGAGCTAGATGAACACGTTCAGGAGCTAACTCCCCACACATGAAAGAGTTCCTTAAACGCTTTTCCGGGGCCTCTCACACCAGTCGTACGCATGATTGATGCGCACGACTGGTGTGAGAGGCCTCACTGTCATTACCTCAACATCTTTCAAGTGTTGTAGCTAGTAAACTTTGCAGATTCTGACAGTTTGTCATATACATATTGTGACTTAGAATTGTCCCAGGAATAAACACTGTAATTTACTGTACGCATTTGAGAATCATCTCCCCGCCTATCCCCTTCTCTCTCATGACATGATTGACAGTCTTGTTACTACTACTACTACTACTACTACCACTTTTTTTTTTTTTTGTAAAACGTGGCCTCCAGCCTCCCCCAATAGCCACACCTTCGCCACCATTTATTTACCTTAATATTAAATATCCTAATACATAAGAAGCTATCCTATCTGTGTTAAATTAGTTGAGCCGCAGATCTATGCGGCCACTACTACTACTACTACTACTACTAATAATAATAATAATTATAAAAATAATAGTAATAACAATAATAATAATAATATAATAATAATAATAATAATAATAATAATAATACTTATAATAATAATAGTAATAGTAATAACAATAATAATAATAATAATAATATTTATTCAGTGAAGTTGTCTTACAGGTTACAATTGGATGTTTATAAACTATGCAGTTATACAGTTCAGCATGACTATACAGACTAGGAAGGTATACAGTGCACGTAGGCCGTGAGGCCGTGAGGGTATGCAGTTTTCTGTGTACCCAGACAGTGCAGGTAACAAGAATGGTAAACAGTAAGGAAACTTGGCCAAGGATAGCCGACAAAGCTGCCAGATGCATATTTCCAGGAGGGTCCTTATTTTTATAGGTGGTGCAACATGTATTAAGGCGCGCAACACCTCAGTCGCTCACCTCCCACGTCTGTGAGTTCGCCAAAAAGCTACAACCAGAGGAGGAGGGCGCCGTGGTCCTCTATGTCAGTGGTGAAGTGAGTACACGTATGGCTGTGTCACTGTACACGTATAAACACAAATGCATTAGTGCCCCCCACCATACACCAGCCTGTCTCACTGTACACACATACAACTTGAAATTTTTCACAAATGTATACACACAGCTACGAAATTGTACAAGTAGCTATGATAAGCACAGACCCTAAAATACACACACACACACACACACACACACACACACAGACACACAGAGAGACACACACACAGACACACACACAATATATCCACGTATTAGAATCAGGGCCAAATTAAAGACACTGCAAACAGGGAAGCAACCCTGGACCCCGATGTTACCGAGAGCCCCCAAGTTACCCAAGGCCCCCAAGTTACCCAGGGCCCCCAAGTTACCCAGGGCCTCCAAGTTACCCAGGGCCTCCAAGTTACCCAGGGCCTCCAAGTTACACAGGGCCCCAAAGTTACCCAGGGCCCCCAAGACACCCAGGGCCCCCATACTACCCTTGGCCCCCAAGTTACCCAGGAGACCCAAATTGCCATGGGCCCCAAGCTACCCAGTGCCCCATGTTACCCGGGGCCATCAAGTTACCTTGGGCCCCCAGATTACACAGGACCCCAAAGTTACCCAGGGCCCCCAAGACACCCAAGGCTTATACTACCCTTGGACCCCAAATTACTCGGGGCCTTAAGATGTTAAAGAAAAGAAAAAAAAATATATATATATATATAAAGAAAGAGTATATAGAGCAGCAGCAGTATAAGTATATATATATATATATATATATATATATATATATATATATATATATATATATATATATATATATATATATATATATATATATATATATATATATATATATATATATATCTTGATAAAATCACACGGGAAAAGGGAAACAACGGAGCACCTTAGCTTTCTCTTTATTCAAGACATCTTCAGTTGCCTCTGAAGATGTCTTGAATAAAGACGAAAGCTAAGGTGCTCCGTTGTTTCCCTTTTCCCGTGTGATTTTATCAAGATTTATCTTATCCACGTTTTCATTGTGGATCTACATGAAATATATATATATATATATATATATATATATATATATATATATATATATATATATATATATATATATATATATATAAATATATATATATCTATATATCTTGATAAAATCACACGGGAAAATGGAAACAACGGAGTACCTTAGCTTTCGTCTTTATTCAAGACATCTTCAGAGGCAACTAGATTACATGGACAGAGAGAGGCTTAAATATACAGGGTGACCTAAAAACATGAGGTCAGGTCATAAGTATAATATCAGAACTGCATCTGAAAGCAGTGCCTTGTTCGTTCATGTTAGGAATAATAATCACCCCATTGCTTGGGAAAAAAGCTTAGAAGTATTCAAATCATCTTGTGTCACAGAAAGACTTCTGGTTGAAGCTAGTTTGATTAAGGAATTAAAATCAATAAACCTTAGTGATGGTCAGTTCAAAACTGATAATATGTTACATAAATTTATTTGTCAGTGGCCCAAGGTTAAAACTGCTTTGAAAACCTTTGATCTTGATGTATGACAGTTATTTTGTGGGTCCCTTTTTTCTGACCTGACCTGTCTAGTCACGTCACCACCCTTCTCTTAAGCTCCTCTACGGTTGTGTTGGTGTGGGGATTAGTGGATGTCATCATTATGACCTGACCTCATGTTTTTAGGTCACCCTGTATATTTAAGCCTCTCTCTGTCCATGTAATCTAGTTGCCTCTGAAGATGTCTTGAATAAAGACGAAAGCTAAGGTACTCCGTTGTTTCCATTTTCCCGTGTGATTTTATCAAGATTTATCTTATCCACGTTTTCATTGTGGATTTACATGAAATATATATATATATATATATATATATATATATATATATATATATATATATATATGTGTGTGTGTGTGTGTGTGTGTGTGTGTGTGTGTTAAAAATTTATTGATTCAATAGCGATTGAATGATGACCTTTAGGCAATGTTGACCGATTGACGGCATTGGTACTGGAGTTCCCAGATTGTAATGATCAAGCAGGCAACTCATGTTGTTTCTCAGTTTCTCTCTTTCTCTAGACTCCATTATTAAATTTATTGGGAGATGAGTGTGAGCATAATATAACGGGGACTATAGAAGAAGTAGACGGTATGGATAAAAGCACAAGAAAAGTGTAAAAGTTCTAAAAGAGTCCCTAAACTGAACCCTTACCGTGGGTTCCCTCTGCCTTAAGTTTGGCCCTAACTCGTATCATAAAAAGAATTCCACAACAGATAGAAAATGGGCGGCTGTTAAAGGCTCATGGTAGTGCTGCTTTTACGAATTAGTTCCTCACCCACTCTTACTCCTTCCTGTAGATACTGGTGACTCCAGAGGGCCCCGCTCTCAGGCTGCCTACCGCCCACTCCGCGCCCACCAACGTCCTCCTTAACTCTCTGGTGCGCACTCTCACCGACGCGCCCACGCTGGTGTTGTTGGTGGATGCAGTAGGCGTGAGGGCGGACGAGGCAGCAAACCAGAATGCCCGCGCAAATCCCCATGCCCATATCCTGCCCCCCATCGCTCACCCCAACATGGCTATGTTGGGAGGCGTATCCTCGGAACGCCTGCAGGTGAGTTATGTTCCCGGGTAAATGCTGCTTAGACAGTGTATGAGTAGCAAATGGACATTTTGGTGTTCTTTTTTTGTATATTTAGTAACTTACTACCCAGTACATTTCTCTCATATTCCAAATTTGACGGTATACACAGATGCAACGTATCTTAATTTTTCATTCTTATAAAAAGTCAAAATAAAAGATATTTTAAATGACTTAAACTCATATAATATCAAATGTAAGTTAAGACTAGAATGTTTTGGAACATTACATTAGTTCATCCTACATTTCGGAGAGGTTTTCTTTCATAGGTTGAGGGGACCTTAAGGGTAAAGTCTTGTTGACACTGTCTTAACATCACTTCTAAGTATGAGTACATTAAATTTGAATGATAACAATTAAAAAATAAATATAATACCAAGAGGGATAATCTGGTGATAGTGGAATAGGCGGTGAGCACCAGAAGGACTTTGACTTCACTAGAGGAAAGGTCACGGCAGGATTAGCTCCCGGGGATTAATTGTCAGTAATGGCTAGTGCTACGAGACAAGGAAAGCCCGTGTCTGACGAAAACTCAGGTGAATGGAAGGTTGTGAGGAGAGAGACGACCAAACTGGTGGTGAAAAAACACACCAAGGATACAGCAACAACAGCTAAGTGTACCAACTCTTATAGTCCTTTGATAGAAGAATTGGACGTTAGTATAATCAAGGACAAGGCTGACAAGGAAGGTACAAAAACTTTGATTGTTGGCGATTCCCAGGTATGGTACCTGGACAGAGCTTTTTGTGGTAAAAATAAAAATAGGATGAGGGTGTGCTTGCCAGGAGCTAGGGTGGGGGATATAGTTGACAGGATGGACAATATCTGCCTCAGTGCAGGAGGCAATGATATTGGCCGATGTAGGAGTGAGGAGCTTCTTGACAAGTTCAAGACAGCTATAGAACATACTAGGTCGAAGGGAGGGATCCCTATCATATGTGGTGTCCTGCCTAGAAGGAGAGTTGGCAATGAATGGTTGTCAAGGGCAGTTGGTGTCAAAGGCCGTCTTGACAGATACTGCAAGTCAATATCAGTCCCATTCATTGACAACTGGGACAACTTTTATGGCAGAAGGGACCTGTATGCTAGGGATGGGGTGCATCTGTCTATGGATGAGGTGGCAATTCTGGTGGCTCTCTCGAGAGGGCAGTTCAAAAAATGTCAAAGTCTTTAAACTGCGAGGAGAACATATGAGCACGGGGTGGAGGAGACTACAGTGGGAGCAGGTAAACAGAGTGAAAGGTAGAAGGGAAATAGTGCTAGGAATGATGACAAAACTAAATTAGGCAGGGAGTTAACACCTAAACACGACAAAGAGAGGACTCGGAACACGACTAACTTAAATGTCTACTAGGCAAACAGTAGAAGTATGAGAAACAAAATGGATGAAATTAGGGCGTTGGTATGTACCGAAAAAATCGATATAATAGCATTCACCGAAACATGGATAAACCTACACTCACTTGAGTTACCTGTCGAATACCAAATTGCAGGTTACAAATTATTCCATATTAATAGGCAGATTAGGAAAGGAGGCGGAGTAGCAATCTATGTCAGGGACAATCTGAAGTGTGAAATAAATATGGAAATAAAAACTGAGCGGAATACAGAAAAAAATTTGGATAGAATTAATCCATGGTAGGGAAAAATTAATTACAGGAGTAATATATAGACCACCTTATCTTGATAGAGTTAATGAGCGACTTATTTGGGACGAAATGCGCAGGGCTTCCATACATAGCAAAGTCTGTATAGTAGGCGACTTTAACTCAGAATCAAAGGATTTTCTTGAAACAATCCAGGACTGTTTCCAAAGCCAACAAATAACCGAACCCACCCGGGGTAATAAAATACTCGATTTAGTTCTGTCAAACAGAGAATACTTGCTAACAGAGATCACAAAGAAATAATATTTCAATTACAAGTACTGTAATATTTCAGGGCAGCTGCAAGGGAAATTCCACTAAAGTCCCACATTTCAGAAGGGGAAGCTTTGATAGTTTGAAGAGGCAGCTGAGAGAAGGGGTATCATGGTTTGGGATGAATTACATGACCTCACATGCAACGATATTAGTAAGCAAATAGACAAACTAAAGCCTAATAAGTCACCTGGTCCCAATGAGATATTTGCCAGAGTATTAAAGGAATGTAAGGAAGAGCTTAGTATGCCCTTAGTAAAGTTGTTTAACATATCCTTAAAAACAGGTGTAGTACCAGAATCCTGGAGGATAGAGAATGTAATACCGATTTTCAAGAAGGGGGATAGCTCACTATCCTCTAACTACCGCCCAATCAGTCTAACATCAATAGTAGGTAAATTACTAGAATCAATCATTTCAAACTCTATTCGAAACCACCTGGAGAAGCACAAGTTGATCAATGATTCCCAACATGGCTTCACAAGCGGGCGTTCATGTCTAACTAATCTAATAACATTCTTTTCATCAGTTTTCGAATCGGTGGATGAGGGGCACAATTATGATGTGGTATATCTCGACTTTAGCAAAGCCTTCGACAGAGTCCCCCACGAAAGACTAATTAGAAAGGTAGAAGCACAAGGCATCAAAGGTAATATCCTTAAATGGATTAGGACGTGGTTACAGGACAGGAAACAGCGAGTGAGCATTAATGGCACTACGTCCCATTGGAGCAACTTCACTAGTGGAGTTCCCCAAGGCTCAGTACTTGGACCCTTATTATTTATTATATACATAAACGATGTAGATATCGGCATAGACAGCAACATAAGTAAATTTGCTGATGACACTAAAATAGGACGTGTTATTAAATCTGACGAGGACTCGGCAAAACTACAGGAATCTAAAAAATGTTTTCGAATGGTCTGAAAAATGGCAGATGAAATTCAACGTTGACAAATGTAAAGTATTCAGTATAGGAGATGTAAACAGGGAAACCACCTACCAGATGAACAACGATGCCATAGAGAAATCCGACTGCGAAAGAGATTTAGGAGTAATGATAAGTAGGAACCTTAAGCCAAGTAAACAATGTGTTTTTGCTCGTAACAAGACTAATAAAGTACGTGGGTTCATACAAAGGAGTGTTAGTTACAAGACTAGCGAGGTCATCCTAAAACTGTATCTTGCGCTTGTGAGACCACACCTGGATTACGCAGTTCAGTTGTGGTCACCTTATTATAGAATGGATATAGAATCCTTGGAAAGAATTCAGAGGAGAATGACAAGACTAATCCTGGGCATTAGGAACCTTGAGTATAGAGACAGGTTAAAGCATCTTAATTTGCACTCCCTCGAGAGACCTAGAGCGAGGGGCGACCTGATAGAGATGTATAAATGGAAGTCAGAGCTAAACAAAGGGGACATAACAAAGGTACTCAAACTATCCAACCAGGAGCAAACTCGTAACAATGGTTTTAAGTTCGACAAATTTAGATTTAGGCACGAAATAGGTAAACACTGGTTTGGAAACAGAGTAGTGGATGAATGGAACAAGTTACCAAATATCATCATTAACTAGAATACGCTGAATAGCTTCAAACATAGGTTGGTTGCTTATATGAGCAATAGGGGTTGGGTGTAAACAGGACTGCCCAGTATGGGCCAATAGGCCCGCTGCAGTTTCCTCCATTCTTATGTTCTTATGTTCTTATGTACAATGTACCCACAGAGGGCGACCTCACCTTACCTGGAGACCTGACGGTTGAGGATGACCTGATCACTAGATCTGAGGTTGACGAGTTCCACAACAATTTAAATAATGAGTTACTTAATGTATAAAGGCAGAACATACCATACAGAAAACTCAGACCCTAAATGGATACATAATTTTTTAAGAATATTATTGGACAAAGGAAGACTATAGGTAGGGGAATAAATCGTGGTGAGGTTTACCTCCAAGATTATTATAAGGTATTGGCCGGTAGGGTTAAGACCGAGATAAGAAAAGCAAAGAGGAATAATGAACTGAAGGTAGCAAGGGAGGCGAAGTCAAACCCCAAGGGATTTTATCAAATGTAAAACATGAGAAACGATTGGACCAATACAGTCAGATACCGGCGAGCTAACTGATAACGATGGAGAAATGAGCAATAATCTGAAAAAAAGTATTTTTCAACAGTTTTCACCACAGAAAATTTAAACATGATACCCGAGGGACCGACTCTAAACAGAGACAGTGAAGAAAATAAGTTAGGCGAGATAGTAGTGACCAGTAACGATGTTTGCAAGCAAATAGACAAGCTAAAGCCTAATAAGTCACCAGGTCCCGATGAGATATTTGCCAGAGCATTGAAGGAATGTAAGGAAGAGCTTAGTATACCCTTAGGAAAGTTGTTTAACATGTCCTTAAAAACGGGTGTAGTACCAGAATCCTGGAGGATAGCGAATGTAATACCGATTTTCAAGAAGGGAGATAGATCCCTATCCTCTAACTACCGTTCAATCAGTCTAACATCAATTGTAGACAAATTACAAGAAGCAATCATTTCAAATTCTATTCAAAATCATCTGGAGAAGCACAAATTGATCAATGATTCCCAACACGGCTTCACAAGCGGGCGTTTATGTCTAACTAATCTATTAACATTGTTTTCATCTGTTTTCGAATCAGTGGATGAGGGGCACAATTATGATGTGGTATATCTCGTCTTCAGCAAAGCCTTCGACAGAGTCCTCCACGAAAGACTATTAAGGAAAGTGGAGGGTCATGGCATTAAAGAAGATATTCTAAAATGGATTAGGGCGTGGTTACAGGACAGGAAACAGCGAGTGAGTATTAACGGAACTAAATCCGCTTGGAGCAACGTCACTAGTGGAGTTCCCCAAGGCTCAGTACGTGGACCATTATTATTTATTATATACATAAATGACATAGATATCGGCGTTACATTATTTCATCATAAGGCAGCAATACTCACTTGACTTAACCTAACCTAACACAATATAAGCTAATCTAATATAAACTAGCCTATTTTGCACTGTAACTAAGGTTTT